AAATGACATTCAATAGACGTTTCATGGGTTAAACAAAGTATTTCATGTCGGTAAGGTTTCGCAATCACTATTTGATATTTTACTGACCATTCGTCACTAGCAGGTACCTAAGAGGTCTCCATTTTCTCATAAGAACTTCATTTTTAATGAAGTAACAGACAAGTACTTCAGTTGCTTCTGTTTCACTAACAGCCCGCTGAAACAAACAGGAGTTTTCAGGATCCTTCTCCTGTTCATCGACAAGTGATTGTCGTTTATAGCCCGGATCAGATAAAAGAGAACGAGTATTCAAAAGAAGATCACTATGATCAATACCTTTCGACTGATCCAACTTAGAAGTGAATGTGACCTCATAAAAGATCTGACCATAACATGTGTCAGCTAAAGGAACACAGTCCTTATCAAAATCATTCTCAAAAGATTTCTTTTCCATAGCTCTGGTAACTGCGCAAGCTGGGAATAAATCAGGGATTTATTTTTAATAGGATCAACATTCTGATCCCAAAAGGCTTGTCAGTTGCGAGTGGATTGCTCACAACCTTGTCTCTAGCTAAGTCATTGCCTAGCAATAAATGAACGCCCTCAACAGACAAGGTATACACTACACCGATGGTCACAGGTTCTGAGACTATGTCTGATGACAAATTAACAGAATGGAGAGGAACACTAACAAAGAAGCACTCTACTTCCAAAATGAGAACACTCATTAGAACAGGTCTTCTCAGAAGAAGGCAAAACACCTGAAACTAAAAGACTCTGAGAAGCTGCTGTATCCCTTAAAATTTTAATAGGGATAGGATTGGCCAAATCACCCAAGAGTGATATAGAACCCTTTGACATAAATGGTTCGAAATTCTCCAAAACACAATCAGACTGAGGTCTATCAAACCCAAAAAATGTATTGTTTTGAATATATAACATTGACCTCTTAGAAATAAGAGCATTTGGGATAGGTCTATCTTGATTCTGGTGCCTATATTTCAATTTGATGCATTCAGAAATGACGTGTCCTTTTCCCTGCAATAGGTACAAGTTGGTAGAGACAAGGATTTAGAATCAAGTCTCTCAGAGGCTTGATTTTTTAGAATTTGTGCTAGATTGATTTTTTACCGAGAGTCGTATTTGTTTGAAACACCTTTCTATCAGTAGACTGCTGAGTGAAATATTTGTTTGCAGCAGGACCTTTATGAGTTAAGGAATACTTGTCAGCAGCCAGTGCAGCATTTTCCAAGGTCTTAACATCATGATCTTCAAGGTGATTTTAGATATCACTAGGAATACAGTTTTTAAACTCTTCGAGTAATGTCAGTTGTTCAAGTCTTTCATAAACATGATCAATTTTCTCAGACATACACCATCTATTGAACAACTGTTCTTTTTCCCTAGCAAATTTAACATAAGTTTGTCTAATTTATTTTTTTGTAACTTCTGAACTTTTGCAGATAAGCCTCAGGGACTAACTCGTAAACTTTTAAGATGCATTCCTTAACCAAATCATAATCAGAACTTTGTTGTACCGATCGAGATATATAGATATTTCTGGCTTTGCCATAAAGTACGCTCTGCAATAATTGAGTCCAATACTATCTTGGCCATTTTGAATTCTCAGCTACTTTTTCAAACAAAATAAAAATTTTGTCTACTTCCTTTTAACTAAATGGGGGAACTAATTTGATATTTCATAAAATGTTAAACTTTGAATTTGCATGAGATGTGGAATCATGCCTGTCACTTGCCAGATCCAATTCTTTCATTTTAATTTGAAATTCTTTTTCATCCCTTTCTTTTTGCCTCTGTCTATCTCTTTCCTTTTCTTCTTTTTTCATTTGTTCCTCTTGTAATTCTACTTGCCTATATTTTTTCTTTTCTTCTATTTGTATTTGTCTTTCCTTTTCCCTTTCTTCAAATTGTAATCTCATTTGTTCTTTTTGTAATTGTATTTGCCTATCCTTTTCTTTTTCTGCTAATTTGTAATCTCATTTGATATATTTGCAATTCAATATGGCTTTCTTTTTCATTCCCTCTTCCTGTCTCTCTTTCTATCTTTCTTCTAACTAAAGTTTCATTTGTTCTTTTTGAAAGTCAAATTTATATTTTAATTTTAGTTCTGCCATTTTAACGTTAGCATCGATTAAAGTCTCACTGACATATGTCAAAACAGTTTTGTCCAAGATATACCTTTCTAACAAATGTTGAACTATAATTTTCATGATTTCTTGTTTAGTTAAGGAAGATGTTGCTTCAGATAATTCATACTTTCTGGCAAGTTCAAGCAATTCACCCTTCCTAAAACTCTCCAACTGTTATTGGGTTGGATTAGAAGGAAAACCTTCCACTCTTGACATTTTTAAGAAGAAAGGCTGTTGTTTGCACTAAATGTTCAAATAAAGTAAACTAGGGGAATTTAAATTTCAAAATTTAGCCAATTTCAAATATCCCGGACGAGCCCCCAATTTTATTATGTTACGTATCAGCTCATTCAAACTAGAAGCATAAGTCCTGTAAAACATTCTAAACACAGTCTGAAGTTCAAATTCAGGTCCAAAATGGCAGATGACCACATCAGACGAAGGGTATCAGAAAATTCCAGAATTTACACAATAAAGCACAGTTTCAGCTGTTCCGTTCCAATTTAGAATATTTTCGGGAAAATGTCTTTGTCTAAATCTGGAATGTTGTTCTCTAGGACAACAAATATTTAGAAAAACGAAGTAAAATTAGCTCCTCTAACAAGACACATGTTGTTCTACGTAGACATAAGAACAGACAACATCTTCTAGCACAAAAATACCTTTTTGTAAGATAATAGAAGTTGTATAACTCTAAAATGTTACAATAAACTGACTTTACGACTATACGACTGTGTATGACTTTCGACTACGACTGACTCTATTACAAAAATTCATCAACATATAAATGAAGCTAACACGTTCTTTAAATTACACACGCACGGAGGACGCATTCAATTTCGTAATTCATCTGGACATTAGGAAAGTCTGACCAAGTATCAGCCAATCGTTTTCATAGCTATTCCTGAATGTTTACTTGTAATGCATTTGTCATCATACACAGCACGTTCTCACATGAGTTACATTTACGACTCAAGTAAACACGATATTTTTCAACAACATATTAGACAGATATTAATAAAATCATGTTAATAAATACATTTAATGAAATAAAAAGATTTATACAAAATTCATTTCTTAACACACACATACTTTAACTACAGGGCCGTGACAATATATATATATATATATATATATATATATATATATATATATATATATATATATATATATATATATATATATATACACGCACACACACAAGTACGTCCTCTTTAATCTGTAACGAAGCTTAGCTTGTAATTGTAACTCTTTGAGACCGAATACGAAAGGTATTTAAGTATACCTGTCAAGTCTCTTGCTCTCAAACCAATGACATAATATATGCAATAAATATAGTAGTGACATGTCCAGTGTGACACATATCAGTCATTATTAGTACATAATAAATGACGGTGTCAGATTTAAGTAGTCTTAACTACCGTGATGGTGTTTGGTAGCTAAACACTAATGGGCTATACTTTAGTAAGATATTTCTGTTGATAAACTGAAGTGCTCAAATAATGCTGTGCTAAATAACATTTAACATTAATAATCACATACAAGTCATTATTATTATTATTATTATTATTATTATTATTATTATTATTATTATTATTATTATTATTATTATTATTATTATTACACAATTTTATTGTTGTTGTTGTTATTATGTTGTCCTCAACATAATAGTCCATTGCTTGGGTCTGATTGGTGGTTCAGGTCTCACTTGTATATGTATCTATTACTGATGACTAACAGAATCATACATATCACCCATAACCACGTTATCTAAACCTTAGTCATTTAATTATATTAAAATATGGTAGCAATTGTTGAGAATAAAACTCCAGGGCTAACCTACATTACAACATTGCTTCATGATACGAAACTGAACACGATTCCATTAATTTCAAACATAAAATTCAACATAACTTATTGGATCGAATTAAGACATCCGCCTCAATGATAGTCACACTATCGCAGCTACGCGTAAAATGACCCTTTCCATGTTGTATTTCGTACGTGCCACGTACAGGACGTAGCGTCGTCATTTCCACGCGGATATTAAATGTAGAGTAAACATAAGAAATATAATTAAGATCAATGGTGAACAAATGTGTTAACTTGATTCTCTGGTAGTCTAGGACATATCAGACTTGTCATATAACGATTTTTGTAACATTAGTGCACATTATTTCAATAAAAAGGCATTTTTCCTTAATTATTAATTTAGAGACTATCTTTTTCAGATTCATATCTTTGATTATTTTCGCTAGAATAAATAAAATTTATGAAATTTATTTTATAAAACCTAACATTTTGGCAAGAATATATTTTAAATGCTTCACGCTAAACAATCCCCATTCCATACCAATGATTACAGGCACTGTGAGCACCGTTTGCTTCCAATACAAGGGAAATTGTGGTCAGAGCAGTAATTGTATAAAAACCCAGTCACGCTTATCAAAAAGCTTTTCTTTAAATCAATCAAATTTTAATTTAAACATGATTACAGTCTTTTCATATAGCTTTGTTATGGTCAGGATGAAGCCAGCCATCTAAAAATAGAAATACTCACAATGAAATGATATAGTTCTTGTTGGTTGCTGCAGAGCCTGCTATATTTTTCAATTCAGTGGTGATGTGATGTGTGATGTAATTTTGATTTTTAACGTAGCTTTAATAATTTTTCAGTCATATCGCTACTATGTCTGCAATGTGGCAGTTTATAGCGATTTCTAGCACTGGGGGTATAATGCAAAAACATGTAGCATGATGTCCCACCCAGTCACACTATCCAGACACCAGACCAACCAATTCTAACATTAACCTCTTAATGCTGAGCGCCAAGCGAGGTAGCAGTTAATAACATTTTGTAAGTCTTTGGTATTACTCGACCGGGGATAGAACCCACGACCTACCGCATCAGAGGTGGACGCTCTAACCACAAGGCCACCGAGCGTTTTAAAATTCAATTCAGTGGTGATTTTTAAAAAATGCTACTTCTGCCAAAAAGAGCGGATGAGCAGGCTGAATTATTATTGCATTATATTTTTATATATCTGAAATATGGACAAGTTACCCTGGTGATATTTATTTCAGTTTTTTTCTGTGCCTCCTGTTTAAAAACAAAATTAGCAGTTATTTGAAACAGATTTTAATAATTAGGAAAAACAAACCTTATTTGTTATAATCTAATCTTACAATATGGATATATTCGAATGACAATTATGAAAATTCAATGAAGTTTGCAAAGTTCATAATAATAACTGTCTTTAGATGCATTTTATCATCTTGAATAATAACCAAACGTTGTTAAGCGATCGAATTCTTTATATCCAAAAGATTGCATTCAGGATTTATCTTGAGAAGTAAAATATATTCGTTGTCTAAGGCATGTAACATATTTTAAAGCTCATCACCATCAGCATTATGTTTCTGAAAATTTTACACCCAGTGCTGTCAGAAAAATATCTTAAAAGAGTTCAAGGGCGATGATTTTGCAATAACCAAAGCAAAGTTTAGTCCTAATTCTGTGTGAACTTGTTGATTGTGAGAAAACCAATTTAAAATAATCGAGAATTTTAAATTCTATTTAGTTTAATGACTGAAATGGACACGTCAAGTGTCTCATCTTATTCATCTACAATCGTAAATAATGTTGTACTTATTGTTTTAAAAACACCCAAAGACGTTTACATAAACAGAGTACATACACACTATCGCGCCAGGAGAGCCTCACGCATAACTCACCACTATATCAAATTTCATATTTGATGAAATATTTAAGTTTTATGTATCTATGCGCTTGATGTCAAATCTTGAGGATTCGTGTGCCATTGCATTGTTAAACGAAATGCAGTTATAATGAAAATACATTTTTGTATCAAATGAAGTGATATTTAATATACACAAACAATCTCAGAGACCACACTGAACATGCATCTACATCGTACACGTGACTATTATCAAAAAACTTTAGAGATCTGAATGATATCTAATCAATGAGAGAAATTATTGAAGTTCACGTATGTCGCATGACAAGTCAAACAACCTGCTTTAATTACATGCGTTACAATTGTTTTGGTATTATTCAGTAGCAAATGTCATGTTTTCTACATCCCGCTGAAATAGAAAATCAAAGCTATTTTGGTACTTTATGCTTGTTCACGAAAGAAGCCGTTAAAATCAATAATGCATTAGCAGTGATTACCGTTTATTAATGCCAATGATTTGTTATTCCAATCAATGAATGATAGTTTTGAAATTAGAATTGTTTGTAATATTTTCATACTGCTCGAGGCTTCACTTTCAACACTAAGGTGTATTAGAATCTTGGGTTTCGTTTGATTATTTTGATTTTTTATGCAATTTGCTATTAAAAGAAAAAGAAATAATGTGACAATGAATAATTATGCGGCTTAGTCACGATTTGTATAGCTCTTTCCCTTCTTATTTATAGTATAATTAAGTAATGAACTAGTCGCGGAGTTATGTCAGTGTGTATTACGCAACACACGTAATTTCACCTGCTATATACATATATCACATGATAATTTTGATATTATGAGCAAAAGCTACGTGTCATGAGGCTGCCATCGCAACCGCAGCAGCCACATTAATCGATGGATCCTTCTTTTGCAGGCTAGTTTCAATCAGCTGTAGTGGTTATCAAGGAAATGCATAAACGTACATTACACTGCAGTGCAGTACTAGTGTTGCCCTGTAGAACAAGTGCATCAGCGCGACGGTGGACAAATTTCTGCAATGTTATCAAACGCAGGTGTCAATTGCTTTGTAGGCTACATATAAAAGTATGCTTCATTCATCTTTCCTCTTTGTCATGAAAAGAACTGTTTGTGAAAGATAGTTTTAGTTCATACCGTTTACACCAAAGCTAAGAAATTTTACTGACAGTAAATATATATAAATTCTTTGTATAGATAATAACTGTGTGCATTTGTAGATATCGGTGATTCATTTACCCTTTCATTTTAGTTCAAATTTTAACTGCAGTCACTACAATATGGTGAAGATGGATAATACAATGTTTTGGAATTTAATGAGCCAGTTCTTCAAGAATATATAAGTACTTATGTCACATCTTTTTCTTCACATGACAGTTCCCTTGTCTTTTGGGAAACGAGTGGCTGCTTGACGTACAAACACACACTTTTGCGCCTTTTTATGCTTGTATGAGGTAGCTCAGACAGTTACGGACTTTTCTTGTCACTCCATACACCCGTCTCAAATAATTGACATACTTAGCTGAATATTAGAAGAGGCATTACGTGATTATGATTTGTTACTGATGTACTGCTTACATGTAGTTTGGTTTATTATAATTATTTGACACTGAAACGAGTGTTATTTGCATTCACTAAAAATATACCCCAATAATGCTCTCACATCATCCTTTTACAGTCGAAATATATTAATTTTAAATTCAGTCGTCAAGTATTAATTTTTCCTAGAACTTTGAACATTTTGTCTTTCTGTGGTCAGTTGGTGGATTCGTTTGGCTTAAGTTTCTACTAAGTGGTCAATATATATTTTTGTTTATGACAAAAATATTTTTTTCGAAATCAAGACACGGTAAAGGTAGTGAATAAACTGTATAAAAAATATTCTAATTCCTTTCAATCAAATATAAAACTAAAATATGGTCAAATTTTAAATTAACTAGTTTTATGCTGATAATAATAGAACTTAGGTTGTTCTTCTAACAAAATAATATAAATATATAAAATGAAAAGCATAAAATGATTTGTTGTTTTGCAAAAACGTTTAGCATAATGATACAAGATTTTAAAAAAATCTTTGCTGGTGATATAATTTAGGTGGTAGCGGGGATCTTAACTGGAACTGAATTCGAATTAGTTTGTATTGATAAATATTTATCGATGTGAATTAGAAATTGTCATCATGTCCAAATTTATTGTGCACACATTTGGACTGCTCTCGCTTATCCGTCTTTATCCTAACCTTTCCAAATTAATTTCTGGATCATAGTACGTCGGTTTCATTAGGCCGATCCATTTGCTTCCTTTATTTACAGTTCCAATGATATCTTTATGATTCAGTCTCTGCTTTCAATTTCTTTCAATGTCTTGCGCACTAGCTACTTTCTTCTAGTTTTAACTTCTATTCCGGCTACACCTATTTTCTCCTCTTTTGAATCTCTAAATTATGTTACGTGACTACCTTTGGCCGTCCTGCAGCCCTCAAGAAACGATATTACTGGCAGCAAAAGCATGGACGACGTGCCATAAAGATCAATAATGGCAAACGATGGAGAAACATCTAGCTATCTTCTCAGACGTTTGTTAGTAATCTATTTTTGTTTCTCGACTGTATTGGTATGGGTTTCGTTTACTATAATTGGCCATGTGCAGGTTATCAGAAGCCTTCCTGGTGCATCCACGCTTTGAAACTTCTTAGTTTGGCTGGAATGGTCGTTTTTCGAAAACCGCCATGCACCCGTTGTTTCAATCTATGTCCACTTTTATTATTTGACGGCATTAAACCATATTCCTACGCATTTAATTGGGCTATCTGTTATTGATTAGAAATCTGGTTTATGTCAATCTGGCCCCTATGTCTGTTAGAATCCACCGTGCCTGATACGAGTTTGTGCTGCAAAAGTCATATTATTCATGAACCCCCTGTTTGAATATTCATTTCCATCACACAGAGTATAATAGAAATGTTGCAACATGTGACGATTCTTTTCTCATGTATTTGGTAGATAGGATTGAATATGTTGATGTTAATATAATAATTAAACACAAGCTTGTGGATATGTTCCAATATATGGTAGCTTTTCAGAGTCACTTTAATCAGCGGTATGGAATAGAGCGATATGTGTTGGCAAGATCCAATCACACCACGGTCAGATCTCCTTGGTTGATGTGGAAGCGTTATATAAGGAATGTTTGTTCTCTACGCATCCTAAACACCCTGCTATTCTTCCTTTTTGTACCAATGTGTGTCTATGTATCTATTTTCTGCCCAGGTAGAGTGCTAGTCATCTGGCCATCATCAAGTTCTATGTCAAACCTTTTTCGCTCAATATAGATAGAGTCTGAAATTGAGTTATGATTTGGAATCTCTTTGGGGTCAAGGTACCTTTATTAAATATTGCGATTGTTTCAGGATTTTTCCTTTTCTTCAGTCTATTTAAAATCGATGCCACAAACGTTTTAGTATCTTGCGTGGCTTATAAATCAACCCACGTCTTAGCCTTGCTTTATGTGCCACTTCAATGCAGGTTCAGGGTTTTATGGAAAAAATATGTTGCAAGTCATAAGTGTTCATGTCTGCCTTCAAGCATTCTCAACTATACTTGTGTTGACGTAAATCTATATAGGTTGGAGATAAATGCCTCTCTCTTTCATTCGTTCAGTTATCCTGATTCTTTTTAGGCTGTCTCTGAGTAAGCTGCGTAGTAGCAGTAAATAGTTTCATATATTGTTTACTCAGTCATCTGAACTCCTTTCGGATGTTCTGAATCTCTCTTTGACGCATGTTTATGGTCTAGTTCTACAAGCCCAAACCTATCTTTCCCGATAGTATATTTTATTGTACTTAGAATTTAGAATTTGCAGAGTTTGTACTGCAGTTTCCTGCAATAGTACTTCTAATATTTGATCCAAGTCATCATCCAATTGTTTGTAGGCTACATCCTTTGTGTTTGTTTATTGAATAATCCCATTCTTATGATCTGTTGACGGTTGCTTGGTTTCATTGACTCAGTCTTGTGTTATTCAATTAAAAACTTGGGTCATAATCTAAATAGCTCACTTTCACTAGAAGTCCCATTATCTGGTTGTCTCTAGTTTCCAGCAATTTAGATGGAAGACTTCTCTCCACATCTATATTGTGCAGCTCATCTTTTAATCTTTCCAAAAACAAGTATCTGGAATGATTTACAGCTGCCACACCAAGGCTAGCAGCAAGCGA